CATACTTCAGATTTCATTTGAAATTTGAAAGTGCTAATGGTTTTCTTCCTATTGTATCTAGTTCAGGGCTGGACAATCTTTTGGCTGCTGGAGGGGCACTTAATGGCTCACTAAGCCATAATATGATTTCTTTGGTCTTGGCTTAAAATAAGTCAAATTGTGGTTTATTCAGTAAACCACAGTGAAATAAACCATGGCTGATCATGATGAATGAACAAAATCAGTAATTTTTTTAAAGTTGAGGGCTGTAATGAGTTGAGTGATAATTCAGAATGAATTGGGCTGTATCATGGATTAGGTTAATTTTTATTTGGTTTTTTTGAGGGGGGGAGTACTGTGGTTTCATTTGCAATTTAAGTGGCTAAATTGTGTACAGAATAGGGGTTTTTTTGTGTGTCTTACAAGAAATTATAGAAAATGGCCACTGATTATTGCCATCACAAAAAAGTGGATTCAGGGACTGCATACAACCAGAGGTCTCTAGATTTTCCATGTATAATGTTGCTTTTTGAGGTTTGTATACAAGGATTCCTGTTCTTCTGATTAGATTTCTGATTGTTTTCAGTCTTCCTGCTGAACTTTGCATCATACTTCAGACCTCAATGATGCAATCCAATTCAATGAGAATAAATAATTGCTCTCATTAAATTTAATAGGCAGTAGGGCAATCTTGTCACTGCAGTAGGTTTATATAAGGAATACAAAAAAGGGTAAATGACATTGTGGAACAAACTCACCTAATTTGCAGCTCCTGAACAATTTGTGGAGTCCAGCATGGTTGGCTCTGAAATCTATAGACTTTTATAAAGTGGTCCAAGTGCTTGATTTGAGGCATTTTAGACTTTGTAGACATTCCAAGATGCTAGGCACATGTTTTTAATTTACAATGAATAGCCTTCATTGTGGAATATGAATATCTAAAACGTGCAGGAGTTGTTACACTTAGGTTAAAATGGGAACCAAAATACCTCCTGGAAAGTGATAATACATTATGTGATAAAATACTGTTGTTCACAGCACCATTGTACAGAAATATTTTGAAGTATTGGCACATAATCAAATACCATTTTTAGATGATAGATAGATAGATAGATAGATAGATAGATAGATAGGCATGCCTTTGCTAGAAATTGCCTTTATTTCATTTGGAAATTATATTTGTCAAGTCATCCACTTTGAACTGCTGCTTTTAATTCAGAAACACTGATATCTTTTTATGTCACACTATTAAGAAAAAA